TCTTGGGTGCCTGAGGAATAGAGGGAAAAAGTGTAAAGCACACAAACAAAATTTTTATTTTATATATATATATATATATATATATATATATATATATATATATATATATATATATATATATATATATATATATATATATATATATATATATATATATATATATATACTACAAAAAGGAAGCTTCATAGACAATACAAATTCAAAATCATATGTAACTTTAATCCTAGATCTAAAACAGTCTAGAATTATCAATTTTTTGTGTCCTGCATGAATCACATCTTAGAGCAAAAAAGCAATGAAGCTTTTATCCAAATTAAGATAAAATATTGTTGCATAACTTTCAGATGAATTAGTTAAAAAAAGGCAATGATCCAAAAAGAGGTCGCATCTCCAAAACTTCCTCATAATTAAGGTTCACACGGGTTCAAATCTAAAATTTGGAAGCTTGATTTAGGAGAATCCATCAATCCCACTTCACTGGATGTTGCAGTCCAGATTTCAGTGGGACACTGATGCGCTCCTCTCATCAGCTCCTAGAGAAGATCCAACACATCCTGTAAACCGTAGCTCCTAGAAACATGACCGCACTCACCATCTCTAAAGTTTGTGGGGTTGTTGTTGGTCAAGAAGAGAAGCCTACGCCAAGCGATGGGACTGACATGTATGCATCGGCCCCATGGGGTCTTATATATTAGCTTGAGGGAGGCTAACTTTAGCCACACCATCAGGTTTGGCAGGAAAGCAGAGCGGAGGAAAGAGTACGAGAAACAGGGGAGGAGTGAGGAGGCAGCCAGGCAGATCGGCTTACAGGGGCTCCAAAATAGGCCAAAGAAGTCTTGGAATGAGGTGAATTCAATGCCAACAGACAGAGATGACTTTGGTGACATCAGTGGACAAATAAGGCCAAATGGGATGCAAGGGGCAAGCTAAAGAGCAACCAATCCATCTCTGTGTTGCTTGAGGCTGTGAAAAAAACATAATGAGTTTCATGATATAGGCAACAGTAGCTTTATTCAAATAACCGTCAATCAGCTGGGGTCAACAGAAGCTCTGCTTTCTATTAATTAATCCTCCCGTGCCGGTGGGTGTGCTGGTGTTCGGTGTGTGTGAAAATATTTTCAAGTCATCACCTGGATAACTGATAGGTCTGCACCTCACTGACACATCAGCGATTGCTGTTGGGGTGTATAAACAGCCATGAAACCTGAAAACAGTCGGCGAGAGGACGCTGGTCAGGCTCCAGCGATGACACATGACAACCAGGCCTCAAATGAGAAACACACGCAGGCCTTTACTACTGAAGCAGCTGCTGCTAACAGCTATGTAAATACAGGGAATGAGTGTTTAACTCCAGTGTTAGTGCAAGGGGATAAATAAGTTGGAACTAATGTAAATATCCCTATAGCTGTCAGAGTCCAATAACAAGGATCGTTTTGTACATTATTAAACATTTGATCAGAGGATGTTATCTTCATCCTATTCTTTTACCAATTGGTGTGACGGGAACCAGAGAATTAAGATTAATTAAGATTAATGGTGAAGCTTCTTCATCAAGGATGCACTAATTTTGGTTTCTCCTGGAGGTTTTAGAAAAGAAGAACCATAAACCCCCCCCCTAATGCCATATATAAGCTCCACAGCCTCCCATCAATCAGGCCACTATACAACCAAGGCCTGTATGTGGACCTATAAGACAACACCTTTACTCTCCTGCAGGTAAAACGTTTGCTCACATAATTTCTGTGATCCAGCTATCTTCATAAAGGCTGTCTTTGTTTAAATTCCTTTGTAAAAGGCAGTTTTTCTCTTTGTCATTGCAGACATTATCTTGAAGGTGACAGGAGAGGCATAGAGGGAGAAGTCAAACACCATAAAAACGAGACAGCTGTACAGACTGAAATAGCTGCGCTCCCCCCATCACCACCATTCTCTTCCGCAGCCATTTTGACCCTGTTCTAATATTTTAACTCTCTTCCTACTAAGCATGCTTTTTTAACCCAGTCATTGGGAATAAAAAATTACTAATTTCTAGGAAAATTTGGCATTGAGGCACTCATTTAACATTTGGAATTGGTTATTAGTTAAAACATTTCCTGAAATATTTGATAAAAGACTTGAAAACCTTTTTGAACATAGCTACTTTATGCTTTTGAATGTTTCCATTCTGGTGAAATGATCACACCACTGCTTTTTATTTCAAAAGCTATAATTGGTTGCATTAGATTCATTTGTTTTAGAATTTCCACACACAGACCACTTTATGAATGTATGCTGATATATATATGCAAAGACTATCGGTGGTTTTGTTGACAAGTCCCTAAAATTTTCAGCTTGTTTGAGGTTCTGGGCTTCACTTTAAATAAAATCAGGTAGTTTGTTTTGAGCCGACTCTTTCCTTGTCTTTTAACTATAGTCTGGATCTTTTCTTTAAAAAAAACAAAATATCTGAGCCATTCTAAATCGTTTCTTTTTTTGCTTCATGTCCCATTTCCAACTCTAGCTTTATATTAGCAGATTGCCAACATGTTACAACACCCAGTTTTCAAAGATTTAACCATTTGACCCACAGTTATTTTTAAATTAGAAGAAATGGGAAGAAAGAACCCAGGAAATGCCTGGGCTCTATTCACTTACAGACCCTAACATGATGAAACACCTCTAGCGCTGTCTACAACAAACAATAGTCTGAGAGGATTGCAACTAAGAGTGAAGCACTCCAAAACTAACATGTTTGTTGGTAGCATTACGCTTTCAGAGTGTTTTGCCCAGACTGAGAAGGATAATAAAGATGGAGGAATACTTCTAATTTATTCAGTTAAACATCTAAGAATTTGAAACTTGATGAAAACTGTAAACTATAATGTTCCCAAACAAATATATATAAAAAAAGGTATCATTCCAGGTATCACCCCCCCCCCCCCCCCCCCCCCCCAACCCATCACAGAGGAACAAAGTACCTCCTCCCTCAGCCAGGTGAACAATCCCCCTTTTCACGACCGACCTTCAGAATAATAGACAGGTTTCAGATATTACAGGCTAACAATAGAACCAAACGACCCACTCGGTTTAAATTTGCGTGTTTCCAAGCAATACAAGCCCTTGCTATCTAAAAGCCTCAAACTCACTTTTTTTTTTTTTTTTTTTACGGAAAAAAAAGGGAATTGAATTGATTAAATCAGATCTTTAATTTCTACCTAGAAGACAGTCCAATAGACAACCAGAATCGAAAAAAAAGGTCACCACTGGCTGCAGAAAGTGTGCGGTTCACTCCAAATTCCAAGTTTTTGCAAGAATACTTAAGTGCATGATTAGTAAATTCAAACAATGAAGTTTTTGATATTAATATTTTATTGTCATTACATTGTCACAAGAACAAACTCTTTGCATTTAACCCATCCCCTTAGGGAGCAGTGGGCTGCCATTGTGCGGTGCTAAAGGTCTTGCTCACTGCTCACCAGTGTGTGGGGCTTGAACTATGATTCAAGCGCAATGCCCTAACTACTTGGTCACCATTCCCCCTCTAACAAGTGAGTCTGCAGAGGGAATCATGGCCATAACAATCCCTCCATCCAGGACTTTAACCTCAACCTGGGGCAGCTAACATTTCTGCAGACTCCATACATTCTGGATACAGAGTTCTTCAACTTTAATCTTAAGGTAAGTGTTACATGTTAGTTTAAAAGGACAGTGCAACTCCATTTTGTTTTATTCAACTGCTCTCACAAACATCTATAAACTCCATAGAACAGAGGCCTGCAGTCTCAATTTACAACGTGCACAAATAATTCGTCTTCTCTCTACAATAACCCTAGTTTGGATAGGAACATTTCCTTTTCTTTGGTGGAAATAGCTTGAAAAAATAGAGCATCTGTATAAATGTGATGACTTTATGTCATTGAATGCGTTAAGAGAAACATTTAATTTACTAGAAAATTAAGATTTCTGGAAATACTTAGCAATACTGTCTTAGACTTAGACAAACTGTATTTTCATTTTCTACACACAATGTGTAAACCAAACAAAACTAACCTGTCACCTCAACTAAATCACTTTTAGTTCAAATCAGGTACAGGAAGGCAGTTCTAGTTTTACTGGATAGTAGAATAAATCTAGTATTCTGCAGTAAGGAATCTTAATTAAATATAATAAAGATACTTTATAGAAAGTGTAAAGATGACCTTCGCAGGGGATTTGCAAACTGAAAAAAGCAAAAAGTATGGAGTAATGCAATTTTAAATATGTGCTACAAGCCATACACTGATATGATTTTACATAATCTAAGCTACTGAACAATGTGAGGCTATAGTGATAATAGTTGGTTATAAAAATCAGGACTGGCTGAAATATTCCAGCAGTTTTGATTACTGGGAGACAAATCTCTCATACTCTGTCACTTGAAAAAAAAATGGTTTAAACTTGTAGTGGTTCATGTCAATCATTAGAAAACCAGACTGCTGTCATTAAAACACACCGATTGTCCCATTAGTTATTTAGTTTATGCATAATTTGTTTTGCCTTTCTTTTGTTTATTAGTTTCTTTCCATGCAACATGGCAGATTGATACATCCCTATTTTTGCACCAATCTGAACAATTTCTTCCTTCCTTTCCTATATTTTGCGAAAAATCCACTTATTTTCTCTTTTATGCATCTATACTTAAAACATGTCAAACAAGAGAAAAGAGGAACAGAATCAAAGTTCCAAATTTGTGTGCACAGACTTAACAAAGCTAATCTGAGCCTGTTTATAATAATACTGTGTTATTCAAACTAATGCACCCAGTGTTTAGTTTTAAATCATTGAGGACTTGAATCAGTAGTACACTCTAAACATCATTCAAATACATATTTTTAAACTGTAAATTAATATGACATATTTATGTATATTGTGTGTAACCTTTGGAACAAATTCGTAAATGTAGCCGTTAATAATTGTAGATGTCCATACTGGAGTAAAACCATATTAAATTCACAAATAATTTCACTCTAATGACCAACAAGTAAAAAGATTAAAGATAGTTTATTGGTTTAATCTTTGACAGAAAAACATAACAAAAAATTAACAATGTACTGGCATTAAGCATATATATTTAAGACTGCTTTTCCAATTCTTACAAAAAAAAGTTTTGAAATGTTGCAAACATGTTTTCATATTATAATTAAACACTGGGAACTTAAATCTAATTTCTTCACCCAAAATCTATTAAGCTTTCTTCTGCAGCTAATTCACCACCACCTCTTTTTCTGGACCAATCACATATGAGTTTCTTTACTTCTTTTCCAAAGTCTTCATGCATTTTATTGAAATCCTCCTCTGGATCTAAGGACAGACATAGAGAGTCAAATAAAGGCAGAGCAGGAGTGCTGCTGACAGACACCATGTTTGAGCTTTTCTTGGGCCAAAGTTTGGGCGATTTCTTAGAAACTGCTCTGGAAGCTGAAATGCTTGAGACTTGAAGCGCGTGGTTGGAGCTCAGCGAGGCTCCTGGTCCCAAAGACTGACCTGCAGATGAAGGCAGGATGGAAGCTTGTGTGCTAGGAAGGGTCGCGGGATAGTTTGGTCCAATTGAGTGGAAGTTTGGCATCGTGAAAGGTCGGCGGAGTTCACTGGAATGTGCATTCAATGCATCTAAGAAAGAAGCAAAGAAAGACAAAAATTAGATTAGAAGTCCAGAGGTGACTGAAATAAGCACAAAGCTGACTAATGTCAGCATATTAGAAAACTGTTTTTAGCTACTGTAATAACACTGGCTAAGGTGGAGTACTTCTAAGGTTTAGTAAGGAATTATTGAAAATCAGCTCTTTTTGAAAAGATAAATTTATTCAAAATCTCTATAACTTTTTAATTGAATTTAACAAAACTGTAAAAACCTTTAGGTTTTTTCTGTCCAGGTCCTCAGGGCCCATGAAGGATATTTGTACAAACCAAGATCAGTATACAAACACAGCCAGACTGACACGTGATGTAAATCTAATACACAGCTTTCCATATCTGAATAGGTGGCACATCAGTCTGACTGTATTTTAATAATTAATTTTCTTTATATTAAATTAATAAATATGGAAAACAGTCTATGAGTTAAAGGACTAATAAAAAAACTAAAAGTGGGTGCAAAAGTTTAATTATTAATTCATTCCTTTCCACAGATTCAAACATCTACTAATACTTTGGTTCAACTAATTGCCTCAAACTGCACACTTTCTGTAGCTGTAAACATGCCTCTGGTATTTAACTCATCTCTCCCCATAACTTATATTAAAATTAGAATACAGTGTCAAATATTCAGCCTGAAGTGTTATCATCCATCGTTTATTATGTAACTTGCTTCAAAAGATATTTGTGTAGATGTATGCAAATGAAGATTTAAAATCTCTGCATTTAGTTCTTGTTTGTTGGATAATATTTCCTATAACAGTATCCCTGTGTATGACGACCCAAGTAAACATAATACTTCAAATGCCCATAAAAGCAACCTGTTGCCAGAGGGAGGGATAAACGGAACCTTGCTCGACTTTTCTCTTTAGTTGTTGCAGATTTTATTTAAAAGTAGTTTAAAACCTGATGGCATCTTAGAAACATTAAAACTTCATCAAGAGAATCTGTTATAGTTTTTCTGACACCCTTTAGATTTCTAGTGGTGGTCCAATCTTTGTTTTTGATAAACATGATTGAGAAAATAATACAAATAAAATTGTTATTCCAAGCAAAATAAACTTCTCAAAATTCAATAAAACAATACACTGAGTTTATTGTTGTAAAGGATTAAACCAGACTTTTGTTATCTGATTGTTAGAATACACTATAATATTACGCTTGGCTACTCTGTAACACAGCGTACATGGTATCAGCCTTGAGGCTGTAAACGGTGACTCACTGCCCTTCAGAACAAAGGTCGCCTTCTCCACCAGACTCCCCTCACCTTTGTACTGCTTCTCCATGTCTGTCACCAGCAGGGCCAGGTAGCTGTGGCTGGCCGACAGCAGAGCCTTGATCCAGCTCTCCTGGCTCGCCTGGTCCTCCGCCGCAAACTTGTACGTCCGCAGTCCTGGCTCGCTCCACACAATGGAGAAGGCGAACTGCTCCTCGGACACACACAGCTGGACGGTGCAGCCCTCCAGAACAATGACCCCAATCAAGTCCTTGTCCCCCGGTCGATCCTTGTAGAAGAGGAGGTTTCCCTTCAGCACGAACCAGCGCTTCTGATAGGAAGTCTTTATCTCACCCTGTGTTACAATCTACAGTTAACTGAACAGTTTACACATTTCAAACGTACCCAACTTCTTACAACACTACTTGCAAAGTAAATTGTAATCTTGCTGAATTTGTAATTGCAAAATATTGCATTACTTTATACGTAATACCAGATGTGTGGCATCAGGTTACACTTGAAATTAAAGCAGACTTGCATAATGACTATTTTACATGATCTCCCTTCGATTTGAGCTTTTTGACTTGGAAATCAGCACATATTTAAAAATTTTTTTTAATCATTATTACACTGTAAAAAATACAGAGCAACGAAATTCACTCTCTGCATTTAACTTATCTCCTTGGGGAGCAGTGGGCTGCCATTGTGCAGCGCCAGGGGAGCAGTCTGAAGTTAAAGGTCTTGCTCAGGGACCCAGAATGGCAGTGGAATTGGGGCTTGAACTCAGAACCTCTGAATTCCAAGCGCAATGCCCTAAACATCTAGGCCACCACCTAATATTTCATATCTCACTTTTAAAAGGTATATCCAAAAACAAAAAGCAATAATCAAAGTCTTTAATTGAATAAAGTTGACTACATTATTTTTCATGTCAAATTGCAGTCAAAAAACCGAATCCCCAATCTAGCTCAAAACACAATTAAGGGTGGAGACACTATAACGTGAGATTTTTGTCATACTGTGTGGACGACAAGATTTCTTAAATGGAGTGAGACATTTAATCCAATTTTAGGGATGGTCACGCATTACCTAACTAGACAAAGCATACCAGAAGCGTTAACAGTAATATAGAAGATGATTAACTATTTTAAATAGGCAGCTTTATTCAGATCATGTCCTATATTAACTAACTGACAAAAATGGCTTCTAGGGAATTTCCCATACAATGCAGTGAATGGTTAAGCTCCAGCATAACTTTCTAACTTCCTAATAAATCTTATTTTCCACAATGTTGATTTTGAAAATAAAAAATAAATAAAAAAAATCAGAAGTTTTTCATTATTTCCCATTTTGGGTAGGGAACTGATCAGTTATGGAACAATGTTGACTCAATTTCAGGCTTGCAAGAGTTGGTTTAGGACTCAACACCAGACTTTCATGTTTGTCTATGGATAAGCATTAGATCTCTTGATTAAAGTACGCAAGTCTTGACTTTGGACTCAACCTAGAACTCAACGCCCAGCTGGGATTGGGCGTTGAGTTGACACTTGAACATTTTGACATTGCCGTGGCTCTTCGGGCTTGATCATATTTGTTGACCCTAGACAGGCTTGTCTTAATTTGGGATCTAACTTGAAAACTGCACATATTGCTTTTGAAATAGACCTCTTCACTGCCCCTTCTTGACACGTAACTCAATTTGAGACTTTCACACCTTGAGGTTGGACTTGACTTGGGACTTGAAGGTCTTATTATGGCCATGACTTTAAGCCCCTAATGTTTTCACTCATCTCTGGATTTGTATTCATACAGAATGCATGGACTCGACTTTGCACATGACTTTATACCAAGGGGGGCTGCTCAGTGGTGCAGTGAGTAGCACTGCTGCCTTGTAGCGAGAAGGTCCTGGTTCAAATGTTTGCATGTTCTCCCACCACAGTCCAAAAACAAAACTGTCAAATGCTAAATTCTACTTAGGTGTGAGTGTGTGCATGACAGAGATGGCAAAAGTGCTCACTTTTCGTACTTGAGTAAAAGTACAGATACTTGTGTTAAAAAATACTCTGGTAAAAGTGGAAGTACTGATTAAACTTCTTTACCAAAGTAAAAGTAACAAAGTACAGGCTTGTAAATTTACTTAAAGTATAAAAGTAAAAGTAGAAACTACTTTTTTCATGCCATTGCCTACATTTTAAATGGATGTCTGCCAATAGGACTAGATCTCCGTTGTGTTCATTTTCAATCATCGCGTCGTCCATACTACTATGCTAACGCCACCAAGCTGCAATGATTTGCCGTGAATGAATACCACCGAATCTGTCGATTTATCTTGTAGTGGTGCGTCAAATGCAACGTAGATTCCCATCCAATTAGATTGAATTTGGTATTGATGACGTGAAAAATAATAACGGTAACTCCATTGAAATGATTCAAAACTAAAGTAACGAGCCAATTTTTTAATATGTAAGGAGTAGAAATTACAGATATTTGTGTAAAAATGTAAGGAGTAGAAGTAAAAAGTCACCATAAAAATAAGTAGTAAAGTAAAGTAAAAATATCAGAAAAATCTATTTGAGTACAGTAACGAAGTATTTGTACTTCGTTACTTCCCATCTCTGGTGCATGAATGGTTGTTTGTCATGTTCGTCTCTGTGTTTCACTGCAATAAACTGGCGACCTGTTCAGGGTGTACCCCGCCTGTCGCCCGTAGACAGCTGGAGATAGGCACCAGCACCCGTTGTGACCCCAGCTGAGATAAAGCGTGACAGAAATGGATTAATAGCAAGGGTAGATTCACACCCGCCACATTTGGCTCAATTTTAACAGACCAGAGTATGATTCCCTCCTTGATTAGACCGTTTGTGCAGGTGTAAGTTAAGACCACCGTAGCAGCAAACTTAGTATCTAAATCATACCTGTTCCACTATCTGTTGCTAGGCAACACTGCCTCCAGCAAGCGACGGGTCTACATTGAATGAGGTTCTCTACACACAATGATTTTACAACTTAAATAACAGCACAAATATGCTATGAAGTAGACCAATCAGACCAACGATCCTTACATGCATGGCTTTGCTGTAAGCTGAAGTCCAATTGTAAAAATTACTATTTGAATACAAGCTGGACGAAATAAAGTCAGCGTTTGGTCCGGATTAAACAAACAAGCTTAGGGACTTTTCTAAAGTTTGACTCTACTTGGGGAATTTAAAGTATTCCTGACGATTTGACTCAAGCAGTATATATTTTTACTTTTTACTCAACTTTGTTCTGTCATGTCTCAGCTTGACTGAAGATTCGAAAGGGAAAACTTGAGTCTTACTTGAGACCAGGTCTCTCCTCTGGTATTCACTTTTATTACACTACTGCAGCTTTAAGACCCAGATGTTTGTCAGTCTGTCTCACACAGAAACACTAAAAAACACAAGACATGTTTTAGAGATCATTTTAATTAGAAAGTTTATTTACCTTTTTGGAGAGGTACCCCTCTTTGTCCACAGGTGAGTTGCAAGATTCAAAGTAGCTGACAACTTTTTCGTCAATCTTCATTTCAACATCGCAGGGTGGTCAAGATATAAACCTGCCACACACAGACACAGAGTAATGATTGACATACACTTGTTTAAACCACTTCCGTGTTTTTTTTTCTGAGTAAACTAATTAATGAAATGTTGCTTTTTACAAACTATAACAAATATTGGATATATCAAACATTTTCTTTGCGGGTTTCACAGCAGAAATCATTCGATTTCCTATGTTTTTTAATAATAATAATAATGATAAAAATACGTTAATTTTTCACAACAATAAATGAGTAGATTTACTTGTGCTCGTGCCTCCGCCATGAATACCTGTCCAGCTGTTTCATTTAAAGCGACAGAGTCAATAAAAAACCTAATCAGTGACAAAGGGTCGGTTTCTGTTAGGAAGAGACGGTTTGAAGAAATTAGGAAGCGAGAAAGCGGCTCCCATCCACACGTCTGTCGATTACTCACCTTACAGAGGAGCGTTTCGCAGTTTCCTCCCCGGGGTGTGAGAGAGGGTGAGACAGCAGCTTCCTGGTTTGGAAGGTGAGGCCAGCCCCACGTCCACATATCAGCTTTCAATTTACTAATATTTTGATTAAATATTTAGAAAACTTCACTGCTTTAAAATCGCTCAGGCCTGTATTTATAACACAGCATTAATGCAAAGTAAAATTCCTCTATCTTTAGAGTTTGGATCAGTTTAACAGTGTTGCGTAATTGTGCGGTTTGTCTTTGCAGAGAAATGCGCTCGTTTCATTTTTGTTTCAAAACAGCATCAAGTTCAACTATTTCAAAATAAAAGTATTTCAGACTGCCACACTTGTATGATACAACGTGGAAGTTAACAATGCACAAAATCCCAAATAATATTACAGAAAACAGTTCCTATAACTGTGTGTATATATATATATATATATATATATATATATATATATATATATATATATATATATATATATATATATATATATATATATATATATATATATATATATATATATATATATATATATATATCGGCATAGTAATTAAAGAAGGTGCAAACAAGGAGGAAAAAGGTGCATTAAGAAAAAATATATATACTGTGTGTGTGTACATATATACACACACATTATATATATATATATATATATATATATATACACACACATTATATATGGTATGTGTATATATGTACATATATGTATACATGTACATATGTGTGTATATGTATATAAATGTGTATATATGTATATATATGCATATATACATATATCTATATATGCATATATACATATGTATATATATGTACATGTATGTATTTATATGTACATATATATATATACATATATGTGTGTGTGTATATATATGTGTATATATGTATATAAATGTGTATATGTGTGTGTGTGTGTATATATATGTGTATATATGTATATAAATGTGTATATGTGTACATATATACATATATGTACGTGTGTATATATGTACATATATACACATTTTATATATATATGTATATATATATACGTATGTCTGTGTGTGTATGTATGTGTATATATATCACACTTAAAACGGCAGAAGTCACAGTTACTCTGCATTTGTGATGAGGATGTTCTTGTTTGAAAACCTTATGCTGAATTTTTAGAGTTTTGTTGAAGTATAAATCAACACCAGGGTAGAATGTATTAGAAATCTTTGGACTGTTCTGAATGTTGTACAGTAGTAACTAATCAGTGCATCTGGGCAAAACTTACAGTGAACTAGTTACCATAGAACTTATCTGAATAGGAATTTCTATGGCATGTAAACAGCCTAAAATAGATTTCTGCTCAGTTTTTGGAACAGGAAAGCTGATGTCTTTTTTTCATGTTGTTATAAGCCACAGAATTCAGAAGCTCCCCAATGCTAAACTTGTATAAAAATAGAAGAATCGTGGGCTTCATTCACTTTTTCAATAATAATGAGCTCAACATATTTGTTGAAAAAGTGGTTTATTTACAAGGAAACTAAGTCCCCACTTTGGGATTTTGCATCTAGCTGCGATATGACTTTTAATCTGCATTAGTTTACTATTCTGAATCTAATCCGACCCAACTCTGGCCAATATCAATAAGATTGAGGAGCCATGAGAAAAGGTATATTTGGTATGTTTATTATTTATGGTGCCTTTGACAAAAAGACACCCAGCATTTGAGCCATATTGTCTATATAAGGGTTGCTAGTTCTCAGGGTTCACTGCCCTTCGTGTTTTAGCCATCAGATGATGCAAAAGCCTGTTGACCACCTTTTCATTCAGATCATATGTGTGAAGGCGGGGAAAGTGAAAGCCCTTTGGGAAACTCCTCCAACTCCCATTGTCATTGTGACACAGCACACACAAGTGAACACTGTTCACCATGAAATTGCATTTATGCCTCACCCGTGCAAGGGGGCAGCCCTCAATGGCGCCCCAAGGGAGCAGTGTGGCGGGACGGTACCATGCTCAGGGTACCTCAGTCATGGAGGAGGATGGGGGAGAGCGCTGGTTAATTACTCCCCCCACCAACCTGGCGGGTCAGGAGTCGAACCGGTAACCTTTGGGATCCAAGTCTGACACCCTAACCGCTCACCCACGACTGCCCGAAACACCTTTTCTTAACGGTTTCTTAACTCTGAGGACCAGAGTTAAGAAACCGTAGTCTATGTCAACAAATCCACAGCCAAATGAATATAAGAACAAAAATTAGTTCTACAATGATATATTTTTAGTCACTTTTATTTGTTTATATGAATTCAATCCAGTCACCTATAGCTGTGCAAAATAGGGGTAATACTTTGATATATCTGGGTAAATTATATGAATAAACAAAAGGCCACTTCAAAAAGTTTAGATTAACACTAAAAATACTTTAATCACCATTTAATTTAATGATCACAATCAACAGGAATACCAATGCATCAGTAATGCAGCTTTGCCCGGTCTGACTTAAGATCACAGCGGTGCAGAAAAAAATAAATAATTGACTAAAATCAGTCTTTTATTCATGGTGCACCAGTCTGAAGGTTAACAACATGTAATCCCATATCTGACCTGATTGTGTTTAGTAAAATCTCCCATATCCAATGACTCAAATAACAGCATCTGTGTAAAAACGAACCCTTTTAACAGACCAATTAGCAAACTAGTGGGACATGGCTCCAAAACACAAAGTTGTCTTAATCAAATGCATAAAAAGACAAAAAGAACAGATATATATTAGATTCTTTTTTTACAGCAGCTGAGAACATTTGCTTTGCAGGAACCTCCTTACTGCAGCTCCCTCCAGGCTCGCTGCAGCTGCAGAGTCTCTCCTATGTGGATCCTTTGGTGTCTCTTCAGATTCTCCCCTCGGCTGAAGCTCTTTCCACACTGACTGCAGTAATACGGTTTCTCCCCTGTGTGGACTCTCCTATGTTTCTTCAGGTCTCCTGCCTGAGTGAAGCACCTCCCACACTGTAAGCAGCCGTATGGCTTTTCTCCTGTGTGACAGCGCTGGTGGATCTTCAAGTTGGTGACCCGGCTGAACGTCTTGCCGCACACGATGCACAGGTGCAGGTCGCTTTTTCCAAGCTGCTCCAAACATACTGGACTTCTGTTGACAGCAGCCCTGTTGGTGTTTGCATTCTCCTGCCTGCTATGTGGGCTGTGATTTGTATTAACAAAGACGGGTTTGTATTGTTCAGTGCCGACTTGTGGTGCGGCAGGATTATTAGGGGTCTGACTCGAAGAACTGCTGCGTAAGTTGACACGTTCAGCCTGCTGTTGATGTTGTTGCTCCTGTGTTGTACACGACGCAGCAGCTTGCTCTGTTTCTGTTTTTATTAAAGGAAGGTGGGTCGTATTCTCTGAGAGCAGAGCATCTGATTCCCTGGTGGCACATTGCGACACTTTAAGTTCCTCACTTGTTTCAATCATCTCCTCTGGTCTTACTTTGCGACTCTCAGCTCCTGAATGCTTATGATCAACCAGTTGCTCCTGCTCTTTGAGTTCCTCCTTCATTCCAAGGTTGAGTGCAATGCAGCTTATCAGTGTTGGCTCTCTGCTTATATCTGGATTAGGCTGTTGAAAAAGCCCCAAATCTTGGTTTCGATCCTCCACATTATCTGGTTTTTTAACTAATGTCTTAGTTGTACAGAGAATAGCTGCAAATTTGGATAAAAAAAGAAGTGTTCTTTACTATCTGTAATAAGTTAGACATCTTAAGAGGACTGTAAATATTTAATAAAAACACTTAACCCACCTCTGTTTTCATTGGTTAATCTAACCTGAAGCTCGTGCAGTTTTCTTTTCAGACTTTCATTCTCTCTCTGCGTTCTGGAGGTTCTCTGTTGGTACTCCAACACTGTCTCTTTCACCACCTCCAGAACCTCCTGCACAGCTTCAGTCAGCAGCTTGGCCACACGGGCATTCAAACGTTCCAGTTTAGACATCCTAGACAAGGAGATCAGGGAAAAGAAAGACTGAATGTGAAAAATGAAATAAAAAAAGGTTTGAAGTTCAAACCTTGGAAACCAAGTCCAGTGGATTGTTTTTTAAACTTTTACGGAAATAAAAAAATTAAAACCCCTCCCGTTTACAGCAAAGACCTGCAAAAAACTGCAAGTGCGGACAACTGATGAAAGTAGAGTAGATGTGAGATGTCAGCAATGCAAAAGAAACTGCAAGTCTGGCTATTAAAGGCCTTTCTTTGAAGTCTGATTGGTTTAAATCGGATTTTCTTAGTGGGACTTGCCGTTTCTTTTTAAAGATTACTTTACTTGACCCTTTTTTAAGTTTGGTTTACTAAACAATAACAGTTCCCTCGGCTATTATAGAAATTAGTACTATCAGGTTGAGTTTATAAAAACATTCCGGCATCCCTAGACAGTGGAGGAATTTGGACAAACCTCAGTTTTAGCTCTTTTTTTTTTTTTTTTTTTTTTTTTTTTTTTTTCTTTTTTTTTTTTGCTACTCACCACACAAGCGACAGAAGACATCCAGGCCGAGATCATACCTACTCCCCCTCCCTCCCCTTCCCCCACTTACAGAGTGCAAACCCGTGAGGGGGTAAGCACTTGCCATAGGTGTTAATGTCCATGCCCCCCCCCAGCCCAGCAGGCCCCGAGGCACCCCGGCACACCAGAGGCCGTGGCAGCAGGGACAGACAGCCAGGCGTACACCGGCCCAGAACCCAAGCAGCACTCCCCACAGAACCCGAACCCCCGAACCCCCACCGGGGACCCCGCCCAAGGGCAATGCGCCCCAGGGATCCCAGGCCCAAGGAGCCACCCCAGACCCACCCCGCAGTAGGGCCGGGCAATGCCCAAAAACCCCCGGCACCGGCGCCAGCACCCCCACCCCGACCCCGGCCCCCGAACGACTCCCCCCAACACCGGTCCCACAGCACCAATCCGAAGAAGAAGAAAGCCACACAACACAGCTAAGCGCAAATCCCGAGCCCCACTCCAAGCCCCGATCCCCCCGCCCACACACCCCCTCCCACACAAAAAACAAACAAAAACAAAAACAAAAAAATTATAATATTCTCCCCCTCACCGGAGAAGAACGGCCGCAAACAAGCCAGTGCCCAACACCCACCGCCACACCACGAGGACCCCTCCACCCAGATGCTCCTCCCCAGAAAAGTCAACATGCCTGCCCTCCCAGGAGACAGGCAAGCCCGCCGAACAG